AAGAAGATAAAACACAATAATTAGTGAAGCAAGCGAGGTGAACAGTGGTGCCAATCCTAAATGTGTAACATATAATCTCACAAGTTCAAATATGGCCAGGGACCTTTCTGTGTCTCATTCTGTCTCCCTCCACATATCAGCCCTTTACTGATTACTCTGTAATAAAGGAAAGAAACATCTCCCAAAATACATCTTAAGATGAACAAAAATGTCTTACATTTTTACAGGTATTAAACTGTTCTTCTATCAGTCAGACACACAGAGCGTTTGAGTAGTTTATGCACAAAACGTGTATAAACAGTAGTTTCATAATGTGTCCGTTTTCTTTGTATTTCAAGGTGCAGTTGCCTTTTAAATATTTCAGTATTCTGTAGTAGATGTTTTTTTTAACAAACTTTCACACAAATAAATTGACAGACTTCAAAGACTACAAATCAGTTATGAACAACTGACAGATAATAGCAGTTTCTTACTGAAAGGACTTCTGTAATATCCTTTTATTGCCTATACCGACACAAGCACAGCAGTGTCTGTCTGTAAAACTTTGTATTTTATTAAAATATCCACATCAATCACACAGCGGGTGAATAAAATAAATGCATCCAGTGCTAAAGCTAATGTTGCAATAATGAGCCCTGTCCCTGGAGTTTGCCCTCATGTCACACTGACCACGAGTAAAGGGAATAAATTCATTCAGAACTTGTAACCTGCCACAGTGATTTTCCTGGAAGACATTTTTTATGCACATAAAATAAAAGTGTTGCATTACAAGAAATAAAAATGTCTCCGCGACACGTGTTACTCAATACTCACACATGAGATATTGACCTTTGAAAGCCAAAACAAAGTCTGTAATACCTTTTGGAATAACAGTCTATTCAGTAGCAGAGGATGTGATCCTCCAAGGACCAGAAACTGCATTTTGACACGACGAATCATAGACATTGATTCATCTACTTCAATAGGTTTTCCAGATTGTTGAAAAGTCTTTGGTCATTACCTCACTCGCATGACATTCAGAACAACTTGTATTCTGTGAAAAAGGAAATGACTTCAGCTGTGAAGGTGAATACTGCCACCCAAAGGGACAAATGACTCATACAAAGCTGATCTGCATCAAAGCATACAATGCAGTAGTGATATCATAGATAACAAATGTATACAGAGGCAAGCTCCAGGGACAGCAATGTCAGTCCGTTGTTCAGTCCACCACTTTGATCCAGACTGAAATATCTCAACATCTACTGCGTGGATTGCCGTGAAATTTAGTACAAACATTCATGTTCTCTTCGGGTGGACTTGTATTTATGGCTTTGCCCGCATAACACTTGCAAAATGAATGACATTCCCACCATCCGTGGTTGTTTTTGTTTAGTCTTAATTAGCTGATGTGCCATTTGTACACACTACAATATGTGTAAATGTATCCACTTCATAGTGCCCTCATGCCCTCAAACATTTAACTGCAATAGTCCATGGCATGAGCACCAGTTGTTTTCTTACAATGCAAATGCGATACGCTGCATTTCATAGATGCGAAAATCACAGTTGTGCGACGTTACAGCTGTCAGTGGTGAAGCGAAATTATGATAATAATTCTCAATAATCAAGTGTCCATTAGTTGAGGAGTAGTGAATGAGTGAACAAGGTAGTGATAACAGGCAGCCTTAATCATGTTGAGTGATCACTCGTTCAGTACCTCACTCTTCAGGCGCCTCACTTATTCACTTTATTTCAATTTATCAAATGAAAAAGGGAACGTTTCTATATATTTCACATTGTGTAAAATAACTAGGAAATCAGTTTAATTTGCTCCCAAATTGCATATTGGCTTTCAGATAGCATATGCTCCTTGACATTTATTAGCGCGCCACACACAACGAATTAAAAACTGCACCGTCTTTAAAGTCAAGGCGTATCACACCACCATGATTCATTTTCCCCCAAATGCTCCTTTTATGGAGCTATTATTGAATTCTTATTTCCATAAATCCATCGTAAAACCAAGCTCAACTTCCATGTGAAGCAAAAGTGTTTCTGACCTCCACTGTGATGAATCAGTGATGATATTATTACTAATAGTTCATCAGCTTTTGCGTTATTCATCGGGATAAAACATTGGACTTTCTTCACTCAAATATAAGCAATTTTCAACTTTGCACCATTTCTTGGGTGGCTGAATGGTACATAGTCATCTGGACAAATGGAGTAATTATTTGGGTGTCTGTCTGCTCCTGCGGTTTGTGCATAGAAGCAGGTATGACTATAATGGTATCTGTGGCAGGAATGCTGTGGCTGACCACAGCTATGAATGGAGAGAAGCTACACATAAACACAGTTGCCTTGTTTTAATCCAACTTCATATAATTTAAACAAGTCAGCTTTAACGCTGTATACTGTATATCATGTCAATGTTTCTCCCTAGGCTTTGAGTCAACTGTCTGACTTTTACAGGAAGACTCTCAAATGATTCACAAACAGCAACCTGACAGCAATAGATCACTGCCTTTTTATTTCTTTGGATTTCATTTTCGTTTTTTAAATAATTTTTCTACTCAATCATCCTGAGCTGAACTTTGTGTAAGTACAGTCTTGACAACATCAGCTATCATGCAAATTGTCTGAATGAAAATAGTACCAACAGTCTTTTAATTAAAGACCCATTGGAGAGTAACGGTGAATTACAGCACTTCTCGCTCATTTATCACGGCCTAGGGTTCAAACTTCCCCGGGGAAGACTATTCAAAATGCGGCCAGGATCAAGAAGAAATGCGCTGCCAACAAGAACAGCCACGGCTGGAGAGGATTACAAAGCCTCTTTCTTCATCATGAAATTTTCTGCATTGACTTGGTGTAACATTTTGCTGCATATACTTCCAAAATGGGAACCTGGTTCAGCAGTTCCATCTTCAGACCTAATGTTCAATGTCACATCCCCCACTGAAAGCTTTACCTGCTTAGTTTTTCACTTACAGAATGAATATGTATCAATTTACACTCATTTGCTTCCAGTGTGATAAACTGCATGTCAAACCACAAACTGAGTGGCTGTAATTGCCACTTCTAATCTAAGCATATTATACTATAGATTTCCACTGAGTACCAACAGCATATGTTATTATTGATAAGGAAATATTAGTCTTGAGTGTCTGGACACCGTGCAAATATAAGTCCAATATTCGCTCACTGTTTTTTCAGCTCCACCAACTCCTGAGAGAAATACCTGGCTCTGCGACATGTCACAATATCTTCACTAGCTAGTTGCTAGCTTTTTTGTGTTGTTTGGCTCTGTGCAGATAGTGTACAGTGGGTTTTAAGAGCTTTGTTGCCTAAAATGGCTGCTTTCTGCTGCTAGAAACAAAGCTGAAGAGAGCTGTGAGAGTCAACCAAAAAGTAAAGTTGCAGGTGAGAAAACTAAAACAATAAGCTTAAAGACACTAAACTCTGTAGAACTGAGGGGAACTGCAAAGTCATAATTCGCTTCGAGTTCATCACCAAAAGCGACTCCTTTGACATACAAGCAGCCGTGTAATTCTGCATTTTGTAATATAAAAATATTGGTTATAGCCTCTTTAGAAAGAAATCTGATAAAGTCTCTTTTTCTTGTTAGCATTTGAAGTCAACTAGATAGTGTTTTCAGATGAATAGTAGCACATATAATTTGATGCAGGGCCATCGGTTGTCCATTCATCACATCAAGCATGCTGATTTGTTTCTCATGAACTGTTATTCTTACTCTTAACACTTATCCAACGATAACAATCTTGTTAACACTCCTGCGGAGGAAAACTATGAACTTTGGCGATTCCTCGCACGATGGTTTTAGTACAACTGACTGGACTTGAAGAGACGCAGTTCCAGTAATTAGTAAAATAATGCCAAAAGCCCAGCTGCACTCACTTTCCCATCAGTCATTTGCACTTCCTGCAGCAAATTCCTGCAGTGACTTGTCCAATAAAAAGATTTTTTTACTGAAACATACTGTTTGGAAACACAGCATGCTGACCGGGCAAGTTTATTTTCCATATGTTCCTTGGCTATTGGTCATTGAAAGCATTTCATATTGCGTGTCTACAGTATATATACAAATGTCGACAGATTGCAAATAACTCAATTTTGGATCACTTAAGATCTGCCGGTGACTGGCTTCGGAGTGCCTCAGGCTTTTTGTTCTTTAGTGTTTTCTATAATGTACTACCTGTACCTGTGGTGGCCTTTCTTTTGTACATGTAATCTTATTTCCAAAAACGGTTTTCTCGCTAATGTACAGCAAATAACAAATGTAGTATTAGTTGGTATTCAGAGAGCACAGTTCAGCAAACGATGTAAACAAGCTAAATCTGATGAATCCCTCACTGCATAGCAACAATGTTTACCTGTCAACACAGACTCCCAGATGCTTCTCAGCGCTGCAACAAGGAATCTGAGTCAGTTTTTTTGGCTGTGTACTAATACGGCTAACGTGTTGCCGATGTGTGATAAGAAATGTAATTCCTGCAGAAAAAAGCTATGGTGAAAAAAATGTAGCCGCATCACATTTCATTTTTGGAATCAACGTGTTTGTGGTTTTCACATTACATTATTTATCGTAAAAATGACAAATCACATTGTAACTCTATAGATGTTGTTCCAAATGGTGTGTATCAACCAATAACACATAATCTAAACTGGCCGTTCATTTTATGAAAAACTCTGACTCATGGCGATTTCGGTAAACGCACCATCAGATAATCAAGATCCAAAGGGCCTCTTCAGACTTCACAGGCAGAGTAGAAAACCTTGATTTGACTTATTTTCGAGAAGTCGTCACGTCTTCACAGAATAATCATTGGTATCAGTGTCAGGACCCGCAGTCTTGCATGTTCATTTCTGTCTCTTTTTCTTTGATTTGGTTACACAAGCTCACTTTGGAAAACAATAAAAGCTTGTTTGTTCTTGTGCTGGATTAACAAACAGCAGATTGTTCTGTTTAGTGTGGCTGGTGGTGCCACCAGCCATACCAGACATTCCAGCCACCTTCATTGACAAATCCAGCCTGGATGAAGGTTTAACCCTTTAGCATACACTCTTAGTCACTGCCCGAGTCTCTTATGTAATTGAAGTATGCTGTTTCTGGGACTTTTACAGTGGCTGTTCCTCTCAGCGGGACACAGGACGAGGACAGCAGCTGCCATATAAGGGCAAGGCTACTGTGTCATCTCCGGAAAACACACTCCCAGACAGAAATGGTATGTGCTTTGCTCCACTTTTCAGCTGGCTATTATCTGTGCTTATGTGTGCTTATGTTTGTTTGTCCTTTTTTTTCTTGGAAGAATAGTTCCATCTCTGTCTGTTCTGTTTTGTCTGAGACTGTGAGAGCCTGAAATTTGTTTATCTTAGGAGGTTCTTTCCAATGCAGTCAGGGGTGATGTCATGAGATGTTTGCTCGCTGAATGCATTGATTGATCGTTGCTCAAGCAGAGTCATATTCACCGTGCAACCGGAGATGTGCTACTGAGCCACAGCGACATTGAATTGTATCGTCTAATGATGATTAAGGCAGAGTGTTTCAGGAAGATCTACCCGTAGGAGTGAGAAGAGTTTCATCAAAAATGACGCGTCTGTAATCACAGTCTCTTTATTTATGGGGTGGCAAATAGTGCGGAGAGGCCACAAAGTCAAGACTGATTTCATTTGCATTCATCTTCAAACACACCCACGCACACACTCACACACCACCCAGGCGCTCTGCGGTGAGGATGTGCCACTTTAGAGCTGCACAAATAAACATCTGCGACAAACATTATCAGAGTGGAATGCACAATCATATCTTCAAGCTGTGTGATACCAATCTGAAATCTTACAGGAGAAGATGCTCTTTTCCCGGATTTAAAAGTGAGAGAGATCTGTGACACAATTGTGGAGTTGAACAGTGTGTGTGTGCGAGTGAGAGAGGCGTGCCAGAGTTCATGCATTCAATTGGGTTTAGCTGCTGTCAACAATGCGGCCGTATCAGTGGATTTCATTAAAATGGGAAATGGGAACTACCTCATAAAAGCCATAGGTAAACTTAGGTACAATACCAGTTGAATAAAAGTACATTTGTTACTATAATTGAGTAGTTTTTTCATGTACTTATAGCGTAAAAAGAAGAATTACAGAGTAACTTGCTGTTATCATCCAGTCAGGAGTTGCATGAATTCATATTTGGCAGCTTGGGGGCAGAACAACAAGCTATACGTAAACATAACATTACTATCACCTTGTAAAGTTCAAATTCTTTTGGAGTTGTGTTTCAGCTGACGTGATTACAATAAGACCAATATTCCCTTCTCTTTGAGCTCCGTTTCGGTTTCCACCAACTCCTGAGGTAAATATCTGTCTCTTCAGCAGCTAAATGCTCCGATACATGTTCACCAGCTAGTGGCTAACTGTGTATGTCTGCGATTCAATATGGGGCGGGTACAGCAGCATACAGTGGGTTATAGGTTATAATTATCTGTGGATTTGCCACTACAAGAGACACCTTTTACATCACACATAGTCATTTGATCATTAATATGAAAATATTGATATGTATTGGAAAACATAAGCTACAATATATAACTATTATAGGTGTTTTTTTTTTTTTTTTGTACTATTGCCTACATAAGAGCTACTACGGATTTTTGTTCAAACAATGTTTTAATATTTGTAAATTAATCTTTTCTCCGCTTAAATCCAAGTAATTTCTCATCTGCTTAAATAGTACGTACCACCTCTCTTTCAACCCGTGAATTAAAGGGCGTAGGTTCGCACATGGACGGTAGGGACATGCCTCTACCAATATTATGGGGAGACAGAATTGTCCCTTTCAATATTTGAGCAAACGCGTTTTGGTGTGAACAGACACAAACACACAGAGAGAGAGAGAGGAGCAGAGGAGAAGAATAGCTTGTTGACTGGCAGAAAGAAATGCGCTTCTGGTGTGAACAGCTGCTTATCACGATGGTTCTGATCCCGTCTGAACCCGGTCCCGGTCCCTTTCCCTTAGTCCTATTGCTTAGACTGCAGCACACATATTCACCGTCTGAAGGGGGAACAACCATATCAGCAGAGTGCAGAAAACTAAGGCAACGCACAGAAGACAATAGGGCAGGTCGATTTTTTTTCTTCAACTTATCAGACAATACAGATATGTGGTATATGATTTGAATGTGCAGAAAGTGCCAATTGCACATTTAAAAGGTGTTATTCTCCCAAAAAGACACAAGAGTCAATCATATCTACATGTGTGAAGACTCAGCAGAGATAACATTAAATGACAAAAGGTGATCTATAGGTTTATAGCCTTACTCTATCATATTCCATTCCATAAATGAAGACTTTTCCACCATAAATTAGTGTTTAAAATTCATCAAACCGTAGGAAATGGGGTGTTTGATACTTTCCTGGAGGAGGACACCCCGACCTCCACTTAATATGTGTCCCCACTAATGTTGAAAGGAAACCTACGCCCTTGCATGACTCTAAACAGCTAGGACTGAGAGCCGCCGATCCATTTTCATCTGTCAGAACATACAATTATTGCTGATGCCAATACCCAGACACAACACAGGCCTGCACACATAATTTGTAGAGTGAAACAGGGACAGAGAGAGAGAGGGAAGAAAGGGAAACAGCTATTTGTGGCGTTGTCACTTAGCCACAAAGATAAAGGCTACACGCGAAACCCTTCCTTCCAAGTTTCCAGCTTCCAGTTATCCCACACTAATTACTGAGATAACCAAAAGATGAATACTTTTACGATGACTTTTTCATAATATGTTGTTGATACATCAAATGACTGCATTGCAACATGATCCAAGCTTGGTGCCAAAGGAAAAGGACAGCACAAACTGATATAGCAGACTTAAAATTGTATAGTGAAGTGTTGCGTTGGCCACTCTCCCCGCTGGAGCTGGCTGTGTCTGTTCTTTGTCTGGGCGAGAGCTGCTGCTCTCCCATTTCCTTCTCTCCTTCCCTCCTTCTCCCTGCTGAGGTAAAAATGAGTCACTGAGTCAGCAGCTGGTCTCCGTCATCCCCAATATCGCCCAGGATTCCACAGGAGACCAGCTGCCGGATCGCTACACTCTGACATCACTTCCCCTTTGCCCTTCTATGGACATGTTCACTGCTGACAAAAAGGCCTCTAATGATTAAATCTATGATTAGATTTTTTGTTCATGTAAGTCCAACTGTAATTCACATGTTTTGTTTAATTAATGGATTTTTGTTTAAACAAACCCTGTGTGTTCTGCCTCAAAAAGCACAATGCTGCAAATTAATTTTACTGCCTCCTTTCAAGAGTTTGTTTTCCCTATAGAAGCAGTTGAAGGTGTACATCATCGAGATCAGAGCTTTTTTCCCCCCCTCGGAGGCCACCTACATCAGCAAGGGACAGGCAGGGGTTTAAAATAACAAACTCTTTTAAGAAGCGAAAGCCTCACGGACTCTTTTAAGACCTCCTAACTGTACATTATGCCATTTTATATTGACCATTACACTCATGTCCCATAAGTAAAGTACATGTAAAGGCAAAACACATGGAAGCATTAAAACAGCCATCCCTTTCACCAGAGATTTTGGTCCTTTCAATCACGTTTATGGTAACAATTACCACAATGAAACAAGGCTATAGAGTCCACAGCCATGCTAGCTGCTCTGTGAGGCCGTACTCACTGTAGGCACTGCGGCCGCTTTGAGCTAAATGCTAATACTAGCATGGGAACGTGGTCACAATGACAAAGCTAACATGTTGATGTTTATCAGGTAAATTTACCGTGTTCACTCACTTAACACCATGCTGACATTTGGTAATTAGCATCTAAACACAGAGAACAGCTGAGGCTTATTAGTTTTGCAGGTATTGCATCATAAAGCAAAGTATTAGACAGATCAGACTTAAGACAGAGGAGGAAAAATTAAGGGATTATCAAAGTTATCACAATTCCGAGGGGGATATGAATGAAATTGAAAAGGCAATCTTATCAAGTAGTTGTCAAGAAGTGACTAAAAATTCAAGCTGTTGGTGGTACTGGAGATGAAAAAGGATCACCAAAATCGGTGAGATTCATCCTCTGGGTAGCATGAATGTCTGTAGCAAATTTAAGGGCAATTCATCCAACAGTTCTTTAGATTTTTCTAACTGGAATCGCCAAAATCAGAGCCCATCATCGTCATGCCTTGAGCCATGGTTAAAAAGCTAGCATCCACGAGGCAGCTGTAGTAACTCTTGGAATGGAGGATTTGGATTAACCTCAGATTGGTTATTTTGGCGTTTTATCCTGTGAGTTGGAACTCAGAGCAAATACTTGCACTTTTTTTTTATTTTACTGCATAGAGCTAAAATGAATCATAAAAACAAAAGTGAGGTCTCCATTTTTGTCTGGGCTGTTGATTACGGATGAGTGGATTCCATTATTGAATGTTTAAACCGAGGTGTTTAGTTTTCCCATTCCACTGGCTAAAAGGACAGGCAGGTCTCTGTCTCGCTCCATCTCATCTTCCTTTTTTTTTTTCCTGTGAAGGGAGGTGTCGTGCCATGTGCTGCTTATTTGAGGAGTCATAGTGAAGGCATAGCCGTGGAGAGGAGCTGGATCTGTCACTGCTTACTGACAGCTCACTCTCATTCTACTCGATGTTTATCCACAAGGCTTTGTGGAAAATACAGCCTGAATTCCTGGAGAGAGGCGGGTCTCTCTCCATCCTTTCACCTGTTTAGTTTTCCAGGTGGAGTGCTGTTGGACCTACCCGAGGGCCTTCCTCCACTTATTCGTGGGCAGTTTATTGCCTCAGTTTTTGATGAAAAAGTAAAAAACAGTGGAAAGAACCGAATGTGTTTTGCCTTTTGGAGAAGGGAGATACAATCTCTAGATTGCGCATTCATTGTTGCTTGGAGCCTCTAGTCTAGCATTAAAAATTTAGCTTTGCTGACTTTGGCAAGCTGAAGATGTTTTAGCATCAGAGCACAGGGCACCATTGTTTTTCAGCTCAACAGTAGGCCTGAAGCAAAGACACTCGTTGATCCAAAACATTAACTCATAACTTGGAGGATGACTGGGCTTCAACAGATTGTTTCTGTCTGTGTGGAAGTAGTCTCTAATAATTGAAAGCTTTGCAGAGTTAACCCAGAGTAAACACAGCCATCAATTCAAGTAGAAGCAATTATCTTCCAAAGGGGTAGCCTTGTTCTTTATGATGGAAACTACTGTGTGAATGTTTACGCCTG